CCATGCTTATAATGGTCTTTTAGAATGGGGCGGAATAAGGAATATTTACTTGCATTCTATAAACATTCAGAAGTGCTTAATTAGATTTTTATGAAAAAGATTAAGATATCACAGCAAATTGTTATACAACGAGAATAAATTTTTAACTGTACGTAAATTGTCCTCTTACAAAGCCCTTATACACATACATGAAATAAAAAAGGATACTATTATACATTAGCAATCATGCGCATCAAATTAGATATATAAGGAATAATGCAATTTTATCCAAATGTAATAAATCCATACTCCAGAAATATGTTGGCTACATAGGGCCCAAATGATACAATTGTCTACCGGAGAATTTAAAACAAATTAAGAGTTATAAAAAACATAGATATCAGTATAAAACTAAACAATGGATTGGAAACAAAATAACACAATTCTGCGAAGAGCAGATTAATTGATCATAGTAATAAATAAAAATATCGAAATATACCTTGTTTACCAATTACAATATTTCTTGAATTTATTGACATATTTATGTCACATGCTATATTAAAATGAATGTATTTTTGTAAGTGCGCATATGTAACTGTTTATATTAATACATTTGTTAAATATTTGCTTTTTTGCACATATATTTTTTAAGTATCACACACAAGGGGTGCTACTTTTATGGTAGCTCTATTTCAGTGATTTTTCATATTTATTTAGTGTTAAGTATGCTTATTTTTTGTAAATCTATATTATAATCTAAGCTTCCTAAATAAACATTATTATTAGTATTAATTACAATAAATTTCTATTATTATTATTGTGTTTTATTACAATTTTTTACTCCTCCCTACTACAAATGTGATATATCCAGGCGAATTGAATGTAGTACTGTACAACCAGAAGTTTCAGAGACCTCAGATGCACAGAAAGAGAAATCGAAGAGGTATACGTGTATATTAATTACAATAAATTTTTATTATTTTGTTTTATTACAACTTTTTACCCTTTCCTACCATAAATTTGATATGTCCTGGCTAGTTGAATTTACTACAATACAACCAGAAGTTTCAGAGACCTCAGATGCATAGAAAGAAATCTAAGGTCATTTTGTATACATTCATTCTAGCCGCAGCTGCAGAGTTTTTTCGCGCAGCGAAAATATCGTGGTGTTGGAGGTTAATAGATATTCACATTCAAAGAAATTCCTCAACAGGAAACAAAAAAGTCGGCAACTTAAGACAAAGTTAATAGAAATTTCAAAAGTATAATTCTGTATTGATAAGTAAAAAAGTCTTGAGTCAAAATATAGATTTTGAGTGATGAAGTGTTTTATTAACCTTAAAAAACGATAAAAAGTAATAGAAATCAAGCTTTTCATCTCTATTTTAAAATTAACTCTCAAATTCAATCGGCTTTTTTAACGTACTAAAATACTTTTAGTACGTTAATTTGTTTGTTAAAAAAAAACAAATCGATATTTTTGACTTAACAACTTTTGAATTATCAGTTCAGAATTGATATATAAGTTATATTAAATTTTACAGAAAAAATAAAATTCATACAAAACAGATTACTTAAAAATGATTACTTCATTTCTCAGTGTAACCACAGAATAATAAACAATTTTTGTTCACAGAATAATAAACAACAATTTGTTTATTATTCTGTGGTGTAACTATCATTTACTACAGTTTTGAACGACTTCCTCACTACTTTTCTTCGTGTAATCAAATGTAGGTTCATTGCTACTGTCACTCTGAATTTCTGTCCTCCCAACATCAAAGGTTCCGACAAAGCTTTCGCTTCTGGTTGTGATGTTGTGATTAGTGTTCTGTGCTAAAACTAAAAAGATAAGATTGCGCATAAGTCGTGACGTCATTGAGATTGAGAGTTTGATCACAGTATCACAGAATAATAAACAATCAGAAGGGCCACTCGCAGATGCCGCCTTTGAAGTTTTTCAGCACGCGCGCCATGTTTTAGGAGGACACAAACATATGATTTGTGAGGTTATGCAATTGTTTACATTTATGTTTAATTATATTATATTTATGTTATTATATTTAAAACTGTTAATATAATTGTATAGTATGTCTATGATTACCGTAAGTAAAATAAACCTGGTTTTTTTTTCCATGCACACCTCATAAACAACACTGGTTCCCTTTAAAATCCTCGTAAAACATGGCGGAACGTCTGCGCGAAGGAGATGCGCGTACTTAATTTTCCGTGGAGAGTGAGCATTCTGTTTGTTTATTATTCTGTGACAGTATAGTGCTTTTTGACGTTCGAAATGTCAATTTTTTTTATGTATCAATAAATAATCTTTAATAAATAGTTTGGAGATATTCTTACGTGTACGATTATTGTAATTACTAAACCTCCTAACTTATTTTCGTCTAGTAATTTCATCACAGAATGCATACAAATCCCATTTAACTTTAACAAGAATTCAAATTCTACTCTCCAATGACTGGAGCTATTTTGTGCTACGTGAAGATGTGAAGATCCTATCTTGATATTATAGTATCATGGTTTGCTGCATGATACTAAGACTTCCAAGATAAACCCACTTCGCAATCGAATTTTGTACATCGACGCGCATGACGTCAATTGGTGATAAAAGTCACTTTTATCACCAACCTTTTATCATCACAGTCGGTAAAACATATATGGAAAGAAAGGGGTTTTTATTTAAATATTTAGAATATTAAGGGTTGTTAGGTAAAATGTCTGCAATTAAATCTTAAAAATATGTTATATATACATCTCTGTTAGCCTAGCAATGTAAACTAAAATTATATAAAAAAGTAAGAACTAAACATCCTTTTGCAAATGGAAATTTATATACAATGGATTGATTTATTAAAATAAAAATTTAATACAAATGATAAAATAAAATACACTGTAATAATTTACAAGTTTATTTAACAATTTATTTTACAATTTTTCATATTTTCTTCTTCTTAACTTTGGATGTTTCTTTAATATATCTATTCAATTTTCTAATTTTAAAATATAATTTACACCTTTACTAACATTACATCTGAACACAGCTAAATCCATTAGCGATTTTAAATAATTCTTGGTTAATTTTAATGACCCTTTGTTAAAATTGTTAAAAATATGGTCCAGTTCATTACATTTAATTAGAAAATCTGGATATGGTTTAAGTAAACCTCCTTCGGAAAGATGGTTTACCCAGTAAACCGATGTCAACGTACAAGATAAACGATAAAACAAAACTAAATCTCAAGGTTAGTAGATATTTAAGTAGATACTTAATTATCTACTAACCTTGACTAAATCTGACAAAACTCTATACAACACAGAACATTTCTGGTGACATTTGTCGCCAAGTGACGTCACACGACTGATCGCGTGCGCGTGGGTTTATCTGTAGTTTATAGTATCATGGGTTTGCTCAATGACGTATAATATATAGACTCGGTGAACGCTTTAAAAAGTGTCCAAAACATGAATATACTTCATCTAATTTAAATAATGACTTACGTCATGATCTACGTCAGAGATCGAAGTTGACATAGTTGCCAAAGTATAAAAAAATCCTGACTCCATTTTAAATCAAATAGATCACATAATTATTGCAAAAGTATTACCATCTCTTTACAATGACTATTTAAATTCTTACGTGACATTTTTGAAATAAAACACACTAATTTTGTTCTAAAAGAACAAATTTAATCAAATAGGAACAAATATAAAACAAGAGATATTCATTTTAAAATTCAAAATAATAAAGTACAAAAAGTGTCAACACCGCAACTGTCAAGTAAGTGTTACCAATTTATGCCAAAATTTTACCCTCGTTCGATTACAGTTACAGTGTGTTCCGAACAAATATTCTTGATAAAAACGCTTTATAATGCATTTATACAAATTAAATGAAACATATTATTGTATAATTCTTTAAGTTAACACTAATAGAAATTTTTAAATATTATTTCTACGCGTATATAATAAAATATGTCCAGTGGCTGTAATACCAGTGTACTCGGTAAAGTGATTCTAAAAAAGAACACACCTACCGATTAAATATTTCGTGTTGGTATCATGTGACGTCATAAGCTATGACGCCCATGACGTGCATCGTTATATAAATTAGATGAAGTGTACCTTTGTTATTGTTTATTGTTTTGATACGAAGGTGCACGAAGTTCATGATTTCTTACGAAGCATCACGAAGTTGATCTAGTGTTTGAAAACATCATGGACGTATGAAAACATTTTCTCCATTTTGTGTGACAAGCAAATTTTATTTTAAATTGTTGAGAGTTATTTACTTACTATTTTAGTAAAATGCCATACTATTTTATCTAAATAATTAGTTCTCTTATAGACGGGAACAAAAAGAAATCATAAATATTTAATTTTAATTAAAAAATAATTATTGTCATTAACATATAAATGAGCACGCCGCTGTTGTGATAAACATACCTTCAACCATCGAGCAATAAGACAAAAGAGGGAATCTAATCGTTATGAAAAGGAGACCAAAAAAGTGGCCTCTGATGGCGGACATATCCGGAAATGAAAATGCGCCAAATTTAAATTTCATGACACTTGACAACAGTAGCTATATAATATTTCGCAGAATGTGTCTTAGACGAGAAAGTTTTAGTTAATTATTAATGATAAGAGTCTAAAATGCGACACAATTGTTAAAAAACTTCAATATAAATAAGATTTCATGTGACATTTGGGACAAACAATAACATAACCCAACTAAATTTGATGTCAAACAAGGAGAGAGACTCTCTTTCCTTGTTTAAAGTGGCCTCTAAAGATTGCACTTCCTGTCTAACAATATGTTTGCCCCCACTACCTTTACATTCCCTCTATTGTCTGTTTGCTCGATGCCTTCAACCTTGAGCTGAGATCTTTCGGACACTCGATTCTATAGCGAGAATAGGGGACTGCGTAGTCTGTATATTATACGTCATTGGGTTTGCTGCACTGCTGATTATTTTTTAACTGACATTGACATTGACATGTGAAGTCTAGAATATTACCAAATATTACGTCACGTTGTAAATATGGACGACGTGTAACTTAACTGGTGTTCGTTTACTATTAACAACAAATAAGTAGTCAACATTACTGCTATGAAAATGAGTGACAGTATGAATATCAAGTCAAATTCGTCTCAGAATGAGCCTGCTATGAAGGGATGGCTATTTAAATGGACAAATTATCTTAAAGGATATCAAAGAAGATGGTTTGTACTGCAAAGTGGTCATTTATCCTATTACAGGTTTGTAATAAATACCATATAATTATTGCTTCTGGATTTTTTTGCATGACGTCTAGTAGTGTTTTGTACTAATTGTTATCGTTTTCCGGAATGTAATAATATATTGTGTGTAACAATTTCTGATTATAGATTTTAGTTTAAAATTTTAAAACGAATTAATAAATATGAATAGTCAAAATATATGATTATATATATATATATATATATATATATATATATATATATATATATATATATATATATTATATATATATATATATATATATATATATATATATATATATATATATTATATTTATATATACTGGCGTTTGTATATAATACTACTACTATATTGACGTTTTGGCAGGTATTCCTTGCCTTTTTCAAAACATATCTAAAAACACATTAATTACTTATATGTTTACAAAAATTTTACCATAAAACATAAATTAAATCCATATATCACATTTAACACACATACACTCTTCACAGCAATAATTCCTTATTTTAAAAATTGTATAGTTCATGTTGACTGTCTATCTATTACTGATTTGAGTACAAATGGAATGCTGTAGAAAGAGGAGGTTCGGATGGGAAGTTAAAGATTATATGGTTGATGTTTTTACAGTTTTATGGCATATAGGGTAGGTTACAAACTGTTTAAGTATAGGTGATGACTTGTTTGACCAATAGACACTCATTAACAGTCTTTTCATGGAATTTCATATACTATGTGTGTTATTTTGTGAATACTTTAGTGAACTTAAGAATAAAACTCACCTTTTAAAAAAACTTTCCAAAATATATTGATTGATTCGGAAACTAAAACCCACAAATATAGAATCATATGAATATATCTGTACCTCGGAGGTAAAGTACACTATGTCCATTTTCGTACTTTTTAAGGAGAGCAGTTTTAACATTTTTTAAATTTGTAATCAGTAAATACCCAAATGTATTAATATATAATATATTATATTAATTTTGTTTAAATATCAGAAACATTTGAGTATTTACTGATTACAAATTTAAAAAATGTTAAAACTGCTCTCCTTAAAAAGTAAGAAAATGGACATAGTGTCCTTTACCTCCGAGGTACGGATATGCCTCTATATTTGTTGCTAAAACCAAAATAAACTAGTTTTTTTTAATGTAATTTATTAGTCAATTTTTTTAAAACATTAAAATACTTATATATTACAAAAACCAAATTAGAATTAAATCAATACTAGGTAATTTATAGTTCTATGAAAAGTAGGAATTTTTTTGGATGAAATCCAGTGATTTACATTCTAATCAGTATTCAATGAACTGTTCTAGAAGATAGTTTTTTTTTTAAATAAAGATAAACTGTTGTCATTTTTTCATTATATATTTTTTTCTTTTCATTTCCCAAGGATTTTTGGTTTCATTTTAACATCATTAGGTTTCATGATATTATATTTTGTTATTTTTAAGTTGATTATTTTTTATGTAACTAGAAACGTGATCAGAATTTGTGCTTGCACTCTATATATGATCTTGCGTCTATGATGTTTTACCTATTGCTTTTAGTCAATTTCATAAGGTCAGTTTCATTTTCATTATGTCCTGGACAGTTTCCAAGCCACTGGGTTTTTTTGGTTTTGAACTTTTTTTGTTAGACTTATAGCATATTTTTGTAAATCAAGTAATAAACCTCTGCTAGTAAATTAAATAAATTAAAAAAAAATACCCAGTAGCTTGCAGGTTCAGAAATATAATCTAACATATTAAGTATAGTATGAGTAAGACATATAATAAATACATATTCTATGCGATTGATCTTACCTTATAATTGCAGTAACCTTAAGTAAAGTAGTAAAATTTGTGATTAACAATATTAAATCATGAATTTGTAGAATGAATTAGATATAAATCAACTGTATCATTTCAAGAGCAAAATATGATTGAAATGTCAAATGTTGGTAGTTATGATTTCTTGCTTAGGTGTCGTCATTACCTTACTGGACAAACAGTGTGACCTGTCATCATAGCCGTTTTTTATATAGATGTGTATTATCGATCAATTATATTTCTCTATTTATTTTTCTCGAACTACAACCTGATAAATCCATACACATAAGGAGTCATCGCTGTGAAGTCTGCATACTTATATCAAAGGAATATTTTTAACAGTTCCTCTCCCTGCATTGGTACTTGTCCTATGTTCAGCTGTCTTATCATATATTCAAGAGTTAGGTTAAATAGTGTCGGTGCCAGCCCGTCTCCTTGTTTTAAACCTTTGACTATTGAAAAGTTCTCAGTGAGCTCATTTTGTACTCTGACAGTTGCTGTTGACTTAATTCCGTTGTCGGTTTTACTAGTTGGATATATTTTTAGAGGATGTTAAAGCTATGTAAGTCAGTTGTAGATCTTCCTTGTCAGAAACCAGTTTGATATTCCCAACAATATTTTTAGTTAGTTGGAGTCATTTATTTAGTATATAAGTAAAAACTACATTGTACTCTGTGCACAAGAGGATTATGCTGTGATAATTTTCACATTTCAGTTTATCCCATTTTTTATAGATTGGGCATATAATCCCGGTTTTCCAGTAGCTAGAGATCTTTTTCTTATTTCAAATCTTGTTCATAAGCATATGCATTTGTCTTACTAGGTGTTTGACACCTAATATGTATATATATAGCTCAGAGGGGACATTGTCAATACTTAGACCTTTGTTATTTGTCGGGGTTCTATATTGTCTGTGTCTCCCTCAATGTGATGCATGTCATTATGCTCTCCATTTTCTTGTGTCCCTAGGAAAGTTTGGAATTCCAGACTGATTTTATTTCTTTTGGATCACTGGTTGTTTGCCCTTCTTGATTTCTGCATAGATTTGTTCGGGGTTTGTATCCTTCTCTTAAATTGAATAGAAATCTATATGCTTCACCTATATTGTTGCTTTGGAGATTTTCTTTATATTGCCGTTCTCGTATTGTTTTTGTTCAGCATATTTTCTCGGCCCTCCGTCTTGCATCTTCGTAGCTCGCTCTTCTTTCTCTGGTTCTTCTTTCCATATATTTCTTGTGTTCTTCATTTCTTTTCCGTATGGCCTTTTTACACTCGGCATTGAACCATTCGCAAATAACACAAATATTTGTCAATGTTTGTTATTTTGTCTCATAGTTCTGTTTGATATCTTGTCTCAATTTTTGTATCTAATTCTTTTGTTGTTTGTTCCTGTCTGTTTCTCCTGTTTCTTTGAAATCTGTATTTTATCTGTATTACTAGATGGTTAGATCCGCAGCATGCTCCTCTTCGGCTCTTTATATCCTGTATGCTTGTTGCAGCTTTTGTCTATCAAGACATGATCAATTTGGTTGGCGGATGTTCCACCAGGCATAATCCATGTTGCTTTGTGTATGTCGTGGTGTGGGAAAAAAGTTGAGCGATGATCATGTTTTTTCCACTGGCAAACTTGAAAATATTTTTTATTGGTGTTTTGATAGTGAATATTTATCAATGGTTCCTAATAAAAGTTCTTCTTTGCCAATTTTAGCATTCATATCTCCTATTACAATCTTAATGTCATTTCTCCCTTAGCTGTCATATACTTCCTCTTTATGTTCATAAAAATCTTCTTTTATTTCCATGCTATGTTCTTTTGGGCTATGTATGTTAATGATTGAGAGGTTAAAGAATTTTGATTTTATTGTTAGTGTACATATTCTCTCATCCACTGCTTTAAAATCTAATATGGCATCTTATTGTCAACTATAAAAGCTACTCCAAACTCTTTTTTCCGCTATACAGTGTGTCCCACAATTAATTGGACATTAGCTAATGGGTGACAGCTGACATCAAAATAAAGCGTTTGAGTTTAAATTGCTTAGGCAAAATGTTGCTAGTTTTCGTTCTACAGGGTGTTTCATTAATATTTTTTATATTATTTTTAGTGATATTTTGGGATTTAAGTGAAATTTGGTATCTTGCTATCATTTAGTATGCTTAATATTAAAATTATATTAGTTTTACCATTGCCACTAGGTGGCGCCCCCTACTATAACATTAGTTCATTAATGTGGCCATAATTTTTTGTTAGCCCTGTATAAATATTCTAGCAAAAAAAATATTCTTGTTTCAAATTAAAAAAGTACACCGTTTTCGAAATAAACTTATTTTTTAGAGACGTGCATAACATGAAAAAATTTTACAAAAACTACGTAAATTCAAACATTATTCAAAAGTCTTAAATACCAATGAATTTTAAATGTATTAATAGTAGATAATTTTGCAAACAAAATGCATATGATTGAAACAATTATTTTTTTTTATATAAAATAAACGTAGTAGTTTGTTAATGATACGCATATCTGTATACCATTTTTCACATAAAAATGCTTGCACTTCATTGTAGCATAGCAATGGCTACGAACATTAATAAAGGTAGGTTTGGTGCCTCTATTTAAGATATACAAATCTTTTTTAATAATATAGTCATAAAGAGACTTACCTCGAGAGTTGTTATCTCTGCTGCCCCAGCCTAAATGGTGGGAGTGTGAATCGCAGCCGATAAGTTTTACCTTTTGACTGAGACAATGGTCTACCAGATCTTCCAATTCCTTTGTTGATGGTAGGATGACTGCATGAGGGTAGGTAGACCGATGCTAGTATCAACTCTCTATTTTTGCCCTTTCCCCATGGGCATTTCACTTTAATCGCAGTTACGTCTGAGGTGCAAAACTGCGCCATGGGGGAGGCTTTAGTTTTTCTGGGAATATATATTGCTGTTCTCGGTTGTTGATTCCTTGGTAAGCTGAAAATATGACCATTTAGACTCCTAAGACCAAATATTTTGGTCTTAATTATCCAAGGTTCTTGGATTAGTGCTATTGCATCCTCCGTTACATCCAGGCGGCGACATAGTATCGCCGTTGCCACCTTTTTGTGTTGGAGGTTGCATTGAATAATAGTAACCTTATTTTTCCGACGCCTTGCCCATGGCTTAGGTATCGTTGTGGATCTTATAGGTGTCCATTTCCTCCTCGGTTGAG